CTTGGAGTTCAGGTTGTGCAGGGCCGGGGCTCTCCTGAGCCAGACTGGGGCCTGGCCACACACCCCAGCTACCCATGAGCTGTGGTGCTCCGGACTTCCTTGGGGTGCCAGGGGCTAAGAGAAGGGGTGTGTGTGGGCTTTCTGAGCCAGGCAGAAGCTCAGGACTCCATGGTGGTGGCTGTGTTAGGCAGCAGCTTGGTCAGTTCAGGTGTTGGTCAAAGATGCCCCATTTGGAAATACTCCTGGAAGAGCAGAAGTAGCAAGAGGGACCCTTCCTGTGCCAGGCTCTGGGCCTTTGGAGGAAGCCATGGTTTGGGGAGCCATGAGTGTGGGATGGGTTCATTCAAGAAAGGATTTTCAGTTCACCCAGAAGTTGTGTTTGGGGCCCTGGGAGCAGAGGAAGTCCCCATCATCACTAGCAGGAGCCTCTTCTCTGCCCTCCTCAGCCCTTAGCTGTGTCCCCACCAGTATGGGCCTTTTTGCCACCATCAATAGCCCCTGTCCCTTGGCTCTGGGAGGTTGCTGAATGTGCTGATTGTCCTAACAACTGAGGAACTGGCCGCTTGCTGGAGGTTCCTATTAAAACATGCTTCTCAACCAGTGTCTTAACCGTGGCAACATCACTCACTCCAAGGCTGAGGAGCCGCACCCCTGCAGCCCTGCAGACTAACCATCCCCACTGGGGCCCCAGGCAGTGCTGGGCGCCATGGGGGAAGGGTGTGTCCATCTACACCTCTCAGGTGGCCTCCCTGGGCTTGCAGAAGGGTCCCTCCAAGCAGACAGGCCCTGCCACTCTCCACGCAAGAGGGGAAGTGGGTCCTGGACATGGGCCTTTTTGGGAGCATTGAATCTAAGCATTTGTCTGCCCTGCACCCCATCTCATCTTCACGACAACCTCAAGTGTGGGTCCTTTTGTTGCTCCACTTTGCAAATGAGGAAACTGAGGCTCAGAAAGGTTAATGAGTGACGACTGTCAAAGCTAAAGCCATCTGCACCCAGAGGCTGCACCCAGACCACCAGACTCCCACTACCCCACGCCTACACCTGTCAAGCCAGGTGTGAGCATAGGTTCCAGGTGGCAGCAGAAGCCAGGACATTTACAAGGGCCAGCTGGGAGCATTTAGAAATTAACCCAGGCTCACAGCTGGCTGCTCGGCTTGAGCTCAGACTGTGTCAGAGCCCCACCTCCAGTCCAAGGCCAGCTTCCTGCGGCCCCTACTCTCACACTCAGGGGAAGGGAAGCTGACCCAGACCTCCCCGCAGGCACTGCCCCTGTGGGGGACCCGTCAACGGGGCCATAGAAATGGTGGGGAAAGTCTGATCCGCCTCCACTCAGCCCATGTGGGTTTCTCTCCCTTCCTGGGGACCTTGGCTGAAGGCTGATTCCATCAGGTGTTCCAGGGGCCTAGTCTCATGCTGGCCGCTAACCTTCACAGCAGCCCTTTGACCGGGTGCTGTGGTTGTGCTCAGGCTACAGATAGGAACGTGGGTCTCTGACTCCAAACTGGGAGCAGTGGGACGAGCCAGAGCCAGAGCTGGGAGAGGCCTTGGAACCTCTAGTCCCACCACCCCAACTTTGCAGGGGAGCAGACCTCAGAGAGCTTCAGGCCTTTGTCCACACTGCCCTGCTGGCCGGTGGCAAGCTGGGATCCAGGATGGTTTCCAGTATTGCTCTACCTCTCCTCCCTTCCCCTCGCCTGTGCTGAGTTAACTCTCTAAGCCTCTGCCCATGTGCAGGGTCTACCCCTTCGGAGGTGCCTGTGGTTCCTGAGATGTCCATCAGCCTCTTAGCCCAGGGCTGGACTTCCTGTCAGTCTCCCATCCCCAAGGCCCCTTTAGCTCCAGGCACCAAGGCTCGAAGCCCTCCCCAGGGAGTCCAGTCCCTCGGCCAGGCTCTTGCCCCAGGCCCAGGGCTCCCCTTTTCCCTCTGCTTGGTAGGGGACGCCACCCTTCCTGCAGGGCCAGGAGCCCCTGGAGGCTGTGGGACACCACGAACCACCAAATGTCCCCCAAATCTGGGGGACCTAATTTTGCTGCCACTCTTAATGTTGCCAATTAAGGAGATTTAAAAATGAAAAATCCTAACTAAATGAATGACAACTAACTGCCACTTGACACCAAAAAGGCAGGAAGAACGTGCTTTAAAAAAAAAAAGCCAAAAAGCCTGTCTTAAATCAAATATGTCTAACTTCCTGAAAAACAGCTCCCCGGCCTCCATCCTTAGTTTTCTCTGTTGCCTGGTGAAGACCTTGCCCCATGCCCCCCAGGTCCACGGCCCGGCGGTGGGAACCCTGATGGGGGAGGAGCAGCCGGGTTGTCCTCAGTTTCACAAGCGTCAGCCTTCGCCCTCTGCTGTCTCTCTGGAAGTTGCTGAGAATGCAGGACCTTGCTTGGGCAGCTGTGGGGTCAGGGCCTTTTAATGACCCTGCTCCGACAGGAGCCAGGACTGCAGAAGGAAGCCTCAAAAACTGGCCCTTCTGCTCTAGAAATATCCATATGGGAAAAGGCCTCAGAGCCCAGGGTGCCCAGACCTGTCCTGCCTGGGCCCCAGTGGCTGGAGCATCCTCCTGGCCCCTCCGGTGAGTGAGGGGATGGCAGGGTCCTCCCACTGCCCAGTCAGGCAGTTGTGCTCGGATGGAGCTCCAGGAACTGAGGGCAGCTTCCTCAGGAGTGGCCTTCATTCTCGGGAAAGAGAACAGGATTTGACTATTTAAATGGAACTAGGGAGGGCGGTGAGGGAGACAGCAAAAGACAAGGCTGCGATTCAGTATTGCCCACGTGACCTAGGAGTGCACATTCGCCCCTGGCTTAGCAAACCGACATTTCCTCTCAAGGGGTCAGCCCTGCCACCTGCCACTGGGCAGGAAAGCTCAGATCTCTCCACAGGAACTCAGAAAGCCCTGCTTTAGGGGGACCCCAGGGCTCATCTTGAGTCACAGAGAGCTGGAGGGGAAGACCCCAGGCAGCTGACCACGTGGTTTGAGGCCAGCTCTGCCTTCTTGCAGCCAGGGGCTTGAGAATGTGTGGGACGGCAGACTCTTCCAGCTGGGGCCCATGTCATCCTCATCTGGCCCCGCTGAACCCGCCAGCGGAGTCAGCCCTGGTCTAGGGGTCTCCATGAGGGAGACATTCAGTGCATCTTGGATGAAGATGCTAAGAGGCTGGGAAACTCGTGTCCTTCTCCTGCCAGGACTGCACATCCACATAGGGGCCAGCACACCTGTCAAGTGCTTGCTGTTGCAGAGAAGATGTCTGCCTTTGGGGTTGGGGGTCCATCAATGTAAGGGGCAGCCTCCCCTTGCCCTGACTGCGCAGGCAGAGCCAGAGCAATGGCTGGTGTCGTTAGGATACACCTCCCTCTCTGTAAGAGCAGCTGGGCCCTGAGAGTGAGCTGGGGCCTCTCACAGGACTGGGGCCATCCAGTGGGGGCTGCTGGGTTGGGTGGTGCTCCCACCAAACCATACTGGAGAGAATTAGCTTCGCTCCCAGGGGAGGGGCTGGGCACATGCTGCCTGTGACTCAGCAATCAATACCTGGTCCAGCCAGCTGTGGTGGGGACAGTCTCGGTTTCCCTTAGCGCAAGTCCTTCCACGAGCTGCTCAAGGCCACCTCCGGCCTCCTTCCTGGCAGTAGTGTCCCAGGCAGCCTCGTCAGCACAGCCAGAAAGATGAAGCGCCAGAAGGACGTTTAGTCACCGACAGCGCCCTCAGAAAAGGCATCCCACTTGTTGGGAAGAATGCGACAGGCCACTTGAGGTCGGGCAGGCCACGAGCCTTGCTCCCACAAACCAAAGGTGGTTGCTAACCTGTTCTGCCTAAAAATAACAGCAAAAGACTCATAAAGGGCTTAATGTGTGCCAGGCTCTCTTCTAAGCTCTTTACACATATTAACTCACTTACTGTCCACCCTGGCCTTTGGAGGAAGTATTATTACCCCCACTTTACAGATATGGAAACTGAGACCCAGAGAGGCTATGTAACATGCCACATTTATAGGATTGATAGATGGCAGGGACAGGACTTGAACTCATGCTGTTCTTGGAAGGGAGAAAGAGAACGGAGCCAGCAAGCCTGCGTGTGTGTAGGGTCAGGGGAGGCCTGGAGAGGAGACCCCTGGTGATGGAGCCACAGAAAAGGGGCTTTGGAGGGCAGAAATGTCCAGGAGAAGCGCAAAACCATTTA